CTTGTTAAAAAAAAAAAAAAAAAACAGTATTATTCCTATCAAAATTCTCCTAAAATACATTTTTTAGTTTATAACAAAACTATAGTTAAAATAATTGTGACACTTGCTTATTACACATTCAAACAGAACAGAGACATGTCTTTGAAGCCTGAGCACCCACTTACTGTGCTTACTTATTTGTGTAATGAACAAGCAGCACACACTGCATCTTCCCAACACTTCGAGGTGGTGCACACTAACATAAAAAGTCTCCAAAGAAAATAACTGGAATTACATTAAATGCTGCTTTAATAAGGGATAACTGCAATAATAAAACAAGTAACAGTATAAATTAATGTTTTTTTAGTGAGCTTCAGTTTGAGAAGCTGAACAGCAGAGATAAATCTTAAGAGCTAAATAATGGCAAGACTGGCAGTTCTTTAAAATCTGGACGATGCATTAGCAAACCCACAACATAACATACTTCTCAGCTGGAGAAAAGCCTTTTGCTAGTTTGGGGAAATAATTAAAGGAGTGTCTGGGGTGGGGGTCATTGTCCATGTAGAATTTTAGAAAGTTAGTCCTTGGAGTAAATGGACCCTAGCTCCAGCAGCAGATATGAGGGGTGATGCTCTGAGGGAGGTTGGGACACTGCCTTGGGTGTACCAGCTGATAGAGCCGAGTCCCGCGGCAGGTGAGATCTTTAATTCAATATGCTTTATCTCCACTGCTTCCACCTGTCTTCTAGATGGTCATTCAGGAACTCAAAGTCATCTTTCAATGGGCTCTGTCAGGAAGATGTCTTGGGGAACATATGTGTTTTCATTCTGTTCTTGAATATATTTGGAGACTTTCTTCAGAACTGTCTCACAATGAATTTCAGTGTGTAAGAAGATGGTATATACTGTTAAACAAGACAAACAGCCTTCACATGACTGGGCTCCAAGTGTCTCTGCTTGTGCATAAAGGTCACTTAGCATTCAAACTGTTTCTTCAAACTACTGCCTGTGAGTCCTGTTCTCTAGCTCCATGGGAACTTTGTCAGGGACTGGCAGCTTGTGCCAGGGCTGTAGTCTGTCTGAATGAATATGAATGCCTTCCGGGACACCTGTGCCTGCTGCAGCCTCATGAAGAGGGCAGGACGCCCTGTGCTGTGAGTTCAGAGAGCACATGGGTCAGATCCCTGGTGTGGACTGGAGACTCTGGCCTGCCAGGCCCTCGGACCACCACCCAGAGAAGCCCAAGGCCTGTCTTCACAGCTCCCCTCCACCCATGCTGTCCTATGGGCTCTTCAGCTACAGCCCTCACCCAGGACCCATGCTGCCACATCCAGGTTCACTGGTACAACTTTTTAATTAGCACAAATGATTACATTAGTCTCATTCTAAAGGTATGAGTTCAAAACATGGACACATTGGAGTGAAGGGGTAAAGCATGGCCACATCTGCCTATGAATAAATAGCAAATAGCTCCTAAGCTTTTTTTCTATTTATCCCCTGCAGAAGGTGGGGGCCACTGCTAGAGATCTGTAAGCAGATGGTGAATTCTCAGTACTTTTCACCACTTTAAGGTGGCACATGGCTCTGACCTCATTTCAATTTGGAATTTGCCCTTTGTTTCAGCACTGGGTGACCGACAGCTTCTGATTTGATCTGGGGAAATAAATGTCTTCAAAGGCAGTAAGCCAAAGTCATGGAGAAATACTGTGAATGGCTTACTTTTTATACATAGCTTATTTTTAAAGTGTCTCCTATATCCCTGGAACTCATTATGTAACCAGGCTGACCTTAAACTGCTGATCTTTCTGCCTCCTTTCCAAGTGCTAGGTGTTGGCCACCATACCCACAACAAGTTTAAATAATTTACTCTTTTTTTTTTCAGTATTTTTGAGATAGGGTCTCCCTGTAGCTCCATCTGGCCTGGTACTCACCATGTAGACCAGGCTGGATTTGAACTCACAGAGATCCAGCTGCCTCATCTCCTGAGTGTATGGTGGAAATACAGGCATGCACCACCATGTCCAGCCTCTTAAACAGTTTACTCTTAATAACAATAATAACCATAAGTGGCTGATATTGTTTCAGATTAGTTTCTCTTCCTGAGCTGTAGTTATATCTGTTGACTTAAGAAATGAAAACTAGCTATGCTAAAGAAAACATAATTTTGAAGAAAAATTGTACTTTACATATTATATGGACGTTACATATGTATAATTCTAAAGTCAATACAAAATGCCTTGGATTGTTCCAATCCTTTATGTCAGATGTCTCCTCGTTAGTACGCACAATTCAGAACCAACAGCCCAATTATTCTAAGACCCCAAGGTAATGAAGGTAAAAGTTTTCAGCAGTAAGATCACCAGGAGACTTAGCCATCATTCTAATCAAGTACTTCAGTTTGCCTGAACATATCATATACTGTAAATTAGGTGAGGCACACATGCTGCAAAAGATTGCTCCTTGAAGAAAGGGATGGGGTCAGAAGAAGGTGTAAGAACCTCTCATCATTGCTACTGGGAAAATAGCAACCTAAGGTTGTTTTATTTTCTGCACAGGTGCAATTTAGCCAATGATGTTTTGGAGAATGATACATGATACAGTGCTCCACCATGAAGTATCAATTCATGTAAAGTGTTTTCATATTTATTTTGTAGGGTGAATTATTAAATTGACTATAGTAAATGAGCAATGGAGATAAAGTATGTGAATGTAAAAATTAGTGAAAAAATACAAATATTTATATAGTTCCTTAAATAGTATAAGAATCATTCTCAATATCATACGGAATATTTTTGTTCTAAACTTTTACAGCACATACTATATCTGTTACCACAAAAATGTGACATTGGAAAGAACTTCGAGAATAAATTGTACAATAGCTTAATTTTACAAAGGAGGAAACAAAAATCCAGATTTGCTGACTTTCCCAAGGATGCAGAATTGGCTGGTGGAGCAGGATCATATTAGACACGATTTTGGCTTTCCAACTCTAAGGCTTACATTTTTTTTTTTCTACTCACATGCTGACTGTAATTACTGTTATGCTAAAAGTAAAATGTTTTTAAGTTGGAAAGGTTGCTCAGTGGGTAAGAACACTTGCTGGGAAAGCATGAAGACCTAAGTTTGAATCCCTAGTACCCTTGTGAAAAACAGCTGGGCATGGCTGCCCAGTGCCTGTAACCTCAGCACTGTGTGGAGTGGAGACAGGAGTATTGCTATGGCTTGCTGGCTGCCAGTCTAGCTCCAGGTTCAGTGAGAGACTCTGTCTCAAAGGAATAAGGCAGAGCATGTACAGAGCAGAACTCTCAATGCTCTCCTCACAGAGAGCATCAAGACAGGCACACACATGAACATACATATACCCCCCAACTTCACAAAAAACTTAAATGTTTTATGCATGTAGTTAAAAATAAAATCACACTAAAGAAGTGGTTTTCTATTTTAGCCACACATTAAAATCACTTGGAAGGCTCGAAACTACTCACACCAGGCTGCCCATCGGATCAATTACATCACAATGTCTGGAGATGGGAATCTGAGAAATCACTACTTTTCAAAACTTCCCAGGTGAGTCTAATGAACAGCCACCTTTGAGAACCACTGTGTTAAAATAATTATAATGAAAAACAGGTGTCATCACCTCCATTGCTCCTAACTTCAGTTCTCCTTCTTACCATAGTTGTTCTCAGTTTGGCCCTAAAGCCAGTAGCACTGGCTTTACCAGTGGGCTTTTCATTAATGTGCAATCCTGGGTTCCACCCTAACTTACTGAAGCAGAGTTTCTGAGAATAGGATCCAGCGGACTGTGTTCTTATTTGTGCTAATATTTGAGAGTCCTATCCTAAAAGATTTCATCTTTAATGATTCTTAAGAGTTTCTCTGTATTCACCTCTATGTGTAAATAATATGTTTATAATCTTATTTCTTGATCTGGCAATTTTATATTCACCTGTTGACTTTCTGCTATGGCAAATAAGGATGCACTTTGTTCTTTGTAAATTTTCTCCTTCCCTTACTTATCCTTCCCAATGAATTATATGGACTTTTTGCTAATTAGCCTGTTACATTATTTATACCATAAAAATATAGTTCCCTACAAAGCTGAAACAAATCTATATGTGTATGCCTTTTCTTGCATACTTGCTGTTTTTCCTGGGGTTAAAAATTGTCTGGGTTGTTTATTGGTCCTCCCTCCCTCCCTCCCTCCCTCCCTCCTTCCTTCCTTTTCTGGTTTACCTTTCTCTTTCTCTCTCTCTCTCTCACTCTTTATTTTTAGTCAGGTTCTTGCTAAGTAATCTGGCTAGTCTCAAATTTATGATCCTGTTGCCTCAGCTTTCCAAGCACTGGAATTACAAAGTGTGCTTTACCATGCCCCATTTATTGAATCATTTTTAAAATTATCTATTCTTAAACTTTTTACATGCTCTGCTGCATCTCTTATACACCTGCTAATATAATTTTCAAGTATCCACCTCTAGATAGTCTATCCATCACTTTTGGAAATGCATACTCTTAGCCCTCTATAACACCTAACATCTGTTATCAGTTTGATTCATAATCACCTAGGCAACACACTTTTGGGTGTGTCTGTGAGGGCATTTCCAGAGAAGCTTAACAGCAGGGAAAACCCATCCTAAGCATGAGTGGCACCATCCTATGGTTTGGAGCCCAGGCCGAATAAAAGCAGAAAGCATGATGAAGGTCAGCATCCCTGGTCTCTGCTTCCTAGTCCACTGCTTCCTGTCTCACCCTCCTGGTTGCCACAGCTGAGAGCCACACCTGTCACTATGCCTTCCCCATCATGACAGGCTGCATCCCTTAAAACTAGGAGCCAAAATAAATTCTTCTGTCCTTAAGTTGTCTCTGTCCAATGATCTCTTAAAGTGACAAATAACTAATACATTCTGTGTCTTCCTGTTCTGATCTTGGTTTCTAAGGTTAGTTGTGCAGTTAACATTCTGGAACTTGGCATCATTCTAAGCCCCTCTCTCATACTTTATCCAGTTTGCACGTAAATATGCTACCTTTACCTTAAAAATATTTCCAGAACC